ATTGTCATGGTCCTTCTAAGTCTCTGAAATGTATAGATCAGGTACATTTGGGAATTTGGGGATTTTTCTAAATTTGGGATGAGAATGGGTGCATTCTGCATTTTAAATTATACAACACCCTCAGCAGAGTCTGGGCTGGATGTTGTTATCAAGACGAGAATATTTCTATGTAGATATTCACCCCCAAGGAGGATCAAGCCTGAATAGTCTAATGTTAGGCGAGGTCCAGTTTTGTGGCCAGGTGTGTTGATGAAGACACTTTGAGTATTCAGAGCCTTTAGCTTTAGCCACTGTGGCTAAGGGATTGTAGAAGCCATACTTAAGCTTTCCCCTTAAAGTTTTGACTTTAATCTCCATATTGCAGCCATGCAAAAGAACAGAATCGTGTCCTTTGCAGCAACGTGGATGCAGCTGGAGGCTACTATCCTAAACAAATTCATGCAAAAAATCGACAGCCAGATAGTGCATGTTCTCACTTATAAGTGGGATCTAAACATTGAGTACTTCATGGACACAAAGATGGGAACAATAAACACTGGGGATTCCAAAAAGGGGAAGGGAGGGAGTGGGGAAAAGACTGAAAAACTTCCTATTGGAAACTGTTTACTACTTGGGTGACGGGATCGTTAGAAGCCGAAACCTCAACATCATGCAATATACCCACGTAACGAACCTGCACATGGACCCCCTGAATCTAAAATTAAAAGAAAAGACATAAACTCCACATCAGATTTCCCTCGTGTGTAACGCTACTACTTAGCTTGGAGAGAGATGGAGGGGATCTCTAGGGTGGGGAATGGACCACTTACCTTCAAGATTTCTCTTATCAGGAAGGAAAGATCTGACCTACCTAGAAACACTTGAAAAGACTATTTTATTCTGTCTTATTGGGCAAAGCTGGGTCAGATGGCCACCCTTAGCTGCAGAGAAGGCTAAAAATAGACATTTTCTACTCAAGTGGGATAATGGTAACTGGGGAATGTGTACTGGAGAGCCTCCGAACGCCAAGCAGGGAAAATCTACCAGCACCATGAAATGTTCCCTTTGTCTTCTGTGCACTTAAGCTGATAAACCTTAAACATTACAGCATGCCACTTCCGTCTGCTTTGAATAAGGTTGTTTACCAATACACTTCTGCAGTCTGATTGTGGCGTTGACGGGACTGACCACATCTCCCAGGGTAGTGCAAAGATCTGCTGTAGTGCATAAGTAACATGTTTTGAGTTTTGTATGTTTATAACTCACACAGCTCAGAGAAAGGTTTAAAGAAGTCACAGAAGCGTGAAAAAATCTGTTGAGTCATAGCTGTTGTTCTTAAAGTAGGCATGGAGAATTCTCCCTGTTGAGGGTCAAATACAAGTGCTAAGAAGACAGAATGTTATGCAATAAACACAGCCAAGTAATAAATGGGTTCCTTGGAGTGGGTGATAGAGAAAGGTAAGTAAGGAGGAAGGAACCAGACAGAGGAAGAAAAGTCAGGGACCATATTCATTGCCTTACTAGAACTTTAGGGTGTGGCAAGAATTTAATGTTTCCCAGTAATCTGTATGTTCTGTTGGAAAGAAGAGCAACAGGAGACTAAAAGGTTACTCTGTTGCCCATTTCATAGGTCCAATCCCAGGCAAAGCTTGGGTTGGATGCCAGTGTTCCTGATTCCTAATTGTGTTTTATCCAGTTGAAACATCAGTGGCCATAGTCAAACACCTAAACTGGATCAGTTCACAGTCCTCAAAGCCCTTCTCCTACTTCCTGTCTTTGACCTCATTCCACCTAATTTTGTCCACACCATGTCGTACTGTAATAAAACCTATTTTATTTCCAAATTAACTAAGAGAATATACTTAAAAAGTGTTACTATCTCGTTGTTTACTTCTTTTTAAAAAGAAGTATTTAACACCTGTCAGCTATTGACGTTGTTTACTTCTTACACTTTTTCTTTATCTTGTAGTTCACTTTCTATTTCTGCCATAATAAAATATTCATTATCGGAAACTTCACTTAAAAGCAAAGGTTACTTCTTCTCCTCCTTTCCCAGTCTGCCCTAAGCTAGTAAATTCATCATTCGTTAGCTCATATATTTTACAACATGGGGATTTTAGTTTACAGCAAATACTCTTAAGTAAAATTGGTAGCTTAAGTACAACTTTTTCTTTTCATGTTACCATGTACAATCAATGGCATTCCGGACTCTTGGAAGGAAGTCCATTGTATGGTTGTGGTCTTTTTTTTTTTCTTCTCAAGCCAGTCAAAAATACCCAGTCACAATTTAAAAAATTATCCGCCCTTGGTGGTGCATGCCTGTAGTCCCAACTATTTGGGCAGAGGTGGGAGGATCACTTGAGCCTGGCAGGTCAACACTGCAGTGAGCTATAACTGTGCCACTGCACTCCAGCCTGGGCAACACAGAGAGACCCTGTCTCCAAAAAAAAAAAAAAAAAAACAAAACAATGTAACATGATCTACCCTCTAAGCAAATTTTCGTATATACAATTTCACTATTGTATATGCGAGATTTTTATATACAAAAATTTCATATATCAGTTCAGTATTGTTAACTATATGAACTGGGTGTATGGTAAATCTCCATGGTTTATTTATTTTGTTCAACTAAAACTTTGTATCCTTTGACCAATATATTTCCCCTTCCCCCTCAAGCCCTGTCCTCTGATAACTACCTCTCTACTCTCTGCTTCTATGAGTTTGACTATTTTAGATTCTGCATTAGTCCATTCTCACGCTGCTCATAAAGACATACCTGAGACTGGTTAATTTATAAAGGAAAGAGGTTTAATGGACTCACAGTTCCACATGGCTGCGGAGGTCCCACAGTCATGGTGGAAGGTAAAAGGAGGAGCAGAGTCACATCTTACATGGCAGCAGGCAAGAAGAAAGCGCGAGCAGGGGAACTCCCATTTATTAAAACATCTGATCTCGTGAGACTTATTCACTATGGGAAAAACCCACCCCCATGATTCAGGTACCTCCCACCTGGTCTCTCCCATGACTCATGGGGATTATGGGAGCCACAATTCAAGATCAGACTTGGGTGGGGACACAGCCAAACCATGTCAGATTCCTTGTATAAGTGAGATCATGCGATATTTAATATTTGTTTTTCTGTGCCTAGCTTATTTCACTGAACATAAAGGCCTCCAGTTCCATCCACGTTGCCGCAAATGACAGAGTTTCCTTCTTTTTTAGGGCTGAATGGTATTCCATCGTGTATATGTACCATGTTTTCTATATCCATCTGCGCTTGGACGGACACTGAGGTGGTTTCCATGTCTTGGCTGTTGTGCATAGTGCTGCCATAAACATGGCAGTGCAGGTGTCTGGAAGATCCTGGTTCTCTTGAGTTTTGCAATCTAGCATAAAGCAGGCACAGGAGTATCAGCAAATGAATGGATAGGTGAATGGATCAATATTGATTAGTGAGCTTTGCTCCTCAACAGATGCTGGTTCCTCAGAAGGATATACTTCCAAACCGTCCTTTCTCTGAATGTCAGTTTCTGAGAAGCCTGCACTGCTGTCTGGGGTGAATGTGATCACATAATATGGGAGAGCAGTTTTGTTTTAGTTGCTCATCTCTGTCTGAAGCTGTGAATGGGTTGTTTAAAAATATTGCTGAGGAATGACTTGCATGTCAGTAAGGGGCTGTTGATGCTGGGATCAAGGTAGATCAAAGGCAATTTAGTGATACACTAGAAATCCTGCATCAGTCGCAGTGGCTCATGCCTGTAGTCTCAGGACTTTGGGAGGCTGAGGTAGGAGGATCGCTTGAGCCCAGGAGTTCAAGGCTAGCCTGAGTAACGTAGTGTGATCCCCTTCTACAAAAAGTACAAAAATTAACCGGGTAGGCTGAGGCGGGAAGATTGCTTGAGCCCAGGAGGTGGAGGCTGCAGTGAGCTGTGATGGCGCCACTGCACTCCAGCTTGGGCGACAGAGTAAACTCATTTGTTCCCAACCCAAGAACATTTATGTTACGTGAAGAATATTTCAATATGTGCGTGAACATATATGCACACCTTGTAGGATCACTGTGTTACAGGAAGAAGAGGAGGATGAAGAGGAAGAAGAGGAGAAGGAGGAGGAGATAGAAGGAGGAGGAACGAGCAAAGCTTGTTTAGAGATTCTGATTTTCTTTTATATCTCATTGACTATTAGATTTCTTCATTTAGATGCACCCCAGTGAGAGGAGGACGGAGAGGAGGAGGAGATGGAGGAGGAGGAAGACGTAGAAAAGAAAAGGAAATAGAGGAGGAGGGGAGGTGAAAGAGAAGGAGGAGAAGATTGAGGAAGAGAAAAAAGAGAAGGAAGAGGTAGAGAAGGGGAAGGAGGAGAAGAGAGTGTTGGGATTGAAACTGTCCCAGCAGAATACTGTAGAGCTGTTGGTTTTCTCTGGTATTTGTAGTGGTTGCCGTTGTTGTTGTTGTTTTCTGTTGTGGGCACCTACAGCTCTTCATCCCAATCCACGGCAGATTGTAGAATACGGACTCCGTGCTTTGAGCAAGCCTTCGTGTGCGTTAAGGAAACAGCCGTGTTGAGGAGGGCTGTGTGTTTTACACCCTGTCTGGATTTCTGATGAAACCAGAGAGCCTGAAGAGAAAAAGGCATGTTGTACAAATCCATTTACTGTTACTCTAATGCTTCTCCATGTGGGTGTGTGGGGCGTGTGGGTGTGCTGTCTGCAAAGACTGATCTGCAGATTCTATGGCCAGTTTGTCTCCAAATTGAAGAACCATTCAGAGGCAGATGGCTCTCTCTGTTTCCCTCTCTCCCTCTTTCTCTCGCTGCAATTTCTGTATTCAGTGGAAAATTCCAGGTGAGCGCCTCTCACTAAATGCCATCAGCCCACGTGTGCCGTGACACTCGGTCTCTGAAAGTTTCCCTTGGGGTCTGTGTTTGCTGTCCTGGTGCAGCCCCCCGCTGATTGCGTGGCTGCGGTGGTTTCTCCCTTTGCCAGGAGACTTAATGGCTCTGTCGATTTCTTCTCTCTCTAGGCACTGGGACGTTCGGGCGGGTGCACCTGGTGAAGGAGAAGACAGCCAAGCATTTCTTCGCTCTCAAGGTGATGAGCATTCCCGATGTCATCCGCCTGAAGCAAGAGCAGCACGTGCACAATGAGAAGTCTGTCCTGAAGGAAGTCAGTCACCCGTTTCTCATCAGGCTGTGAGTCCCCTCCTGAGGCCTCTCCCCACACACCCTCCCTAGGCCCCTGTGTGTCTCTTCTTGTAAGAAGCAGGGTGGGCCGAGACCGTGGCCTGCGTGCAAAGCCTCAGGCCACAGCAGTCTCCACCTGTCAGGTCTTATCAGCCTCTGATCTCGGAGCTGGAAAACCTCCAGGGCTCCTGACCTCCATGGCTGACCAGGTCCAAAAAGAAATGCTCTGTGTTCAGAAGTCCATGCCCAAGGCCCCTAGCTCCTCTCCTGGGTGAGCCAAGTGCCTCTGCCTGGAAAAGGATGCAAGAATCTTTGTCTCCTCACCTCCTTGGGTTCTGCTTCTGTAGCTCTCTGGAGAACTGGTTAAGTTGATTTTTAAGGGACCACAGTCTTTTGGACGGGGCTGGGCTTCAGGTTTCGTGGGTTTCTGGTTGACTGTGGATGAGAGATATCCCATTTAGATGCAGCCCACACCCTTCCGGCTGATGGTACACAACAGTCTTATGTCCTAGGGTAGGTGTGTGAGTCCATTCGGGCTGCTATAAGAAAGGATCTTAGACTCGGTAATTTACAAATGACAGACATTTGCCTCATGGTTCTGGAGGCTGGAAAGTCCGAGATCAAGACATGGCAGATTCAGTGTCTGGTGAGGACCCGCTCCCTGGTTCATAGATGGCGCCTTTTCACTGTGTCCTCATATGGTGGAAGGGGCGAGGGAGCTCTCTGGGGTCCCTTTTATAAGGGCACTCGTCCCATTCATGAGACTCCACCCTCATGACCTCCCAAAGGACACACCATCTAACACCATCACCGTGGCGGTGAGGATCCAACATAGGGATTTGGGAGGACACAAGATATTCAGACCATTCCAGCAGGGTAATTCCGTTTCCAGCCAGGTGTCTTAGACGAGGATGTCCTGCGTGTCTCTCCTTTCCCTCCATGGGTGCCTCCCATCCAATTCCCCAAGTCTTCCCTCTGCCGTCTTATTACCACGCCTCTCCTGTCCACCTATCCGTCTTCTGCTTTATCTGGGTCCCGTCTCTCTGCCCTGATTTTCTGTACTGGCGTCCCTCCTACCTGATCTTTCTCTCCCAGCCTTGCTCCCTTTGAAGACATTCCTCACTTTATAGCCTCACTAGTCCTCCCAGGTACCTCTGCAATGACCTGCCTCTCTCTGGTCATTCTCAGGGAACTCCTGAACTATCCCATATAAAGCCCCAGCAATGCGGCATCCTCCTACCAATATCCTCATGGACTGGCCTCCTGCCAGCACCTCCCTGCAGGAGAAGGTAGAAGGTGCTGTTCACCCACTCACTCCGGTGCTTCTCCCAGGCCACCCTTCATTGACCGGCCTCCTTCTTTGCTCTCATCATTGTCCTTCACTTCCCCCATCTAAGAAACACCTACTTGTTTTCCCTCATTCACCTGCTGTCCCCGGGACACAGGGTGCCTCCCATCATATTATTGAAGCACCTTGTGTGTACCGGAACAAGTGCACCTGCCTTCTCCTCTGGACCCAATGCTGCCTGAGCTTCGAACAAAATCATATGCAGAGGATGGGCATGGTGGCTCATACCTGTAATCCCAGCACTTTGGGAGGCCGAGGCAGGTGGATCACCTGAGGTCAGGAGTTCAGACTAGCCTGGCCAACATGGTGAAAACCCATCTCTGCTAAAAATACAAAAATTAGCTGGGTGTGGTGGTGCACACCTGTATTCCCAGCTATTCAGGAGGCAGAAGCAGGAGAATCGCTTGAACCCAGGAGGCTGAGGTTGCAGTGAGCCGAGATCATGCCACTGCACGCCAGCCTGGGTGACAAGAGTGAGACTCTGTTTCACAAAAACAAAGGAGTTCTTTTGAAGGCTGGGCTTGCAGGTGGGACCCTTCCCTTTCTCGTTTGCTTTGTTGCATTTTTCTGTGGCTTGCAGGTGTCCTAAGCATGATACTGTGGGGTGTGCCTGAAATCTTGGGTGAGGGGCTCCAGTTCTGGGGATTCCACCCTGTTGAAGGTCGAATTGTGTCTCCTGAAAAGATATGTTGAAATCCTCACCCCGACTCCTGTGAATGAAATTGGAATGCTATTTGGAAATAGGGTCTTTGCAGATGTAATTAAAATGCAAGTGGCCAGGCACAGTGGCTCATGCCTGTAACTGTAGCACTTTGGGAGGCTGAGGTGGAAGGATCACTTGAGCCCAGGAGTTTGAGACCAGCCTGGGCAACGTAGCAAGACTCCGTTTCTACAGAAGATTAAACAATTATTCAGGTGTGGTGGTGCACACCTGTGCTCCCAGCTACTAGGAAGGATGAGGCAAGAGGATTGCTTAAGGCCAAGAGCTCGAGGCTGCATTGAGCTGTGATGCCACCACTGCACTCAAGACCCTGTTTATAAAAACAAAACAAAAAAAATAAAAATGAAATGCAAGTAGGATGGACTGATTCTGCTGTACGGTGTGCTTTTGACCTTGTGTGACTGGTGTCCTTACGAGAAAAGGAAGGAGACACAGACACAGAGAGGGCCGAACACCGAGAGGAGGACACCTTGTGAGGATAGAATTAGAGGTTGGAGGAATGGTGCATCTCCAAGCCAGGGACTCCAAGGATTGCTGGCTACTCCCAGAACCTGGGAGAGAGGCCAGGGACAGATTCTCCATCAGAGCCTGCAGAAGAACCAACCCCACCAACACCATCATGCTGAACTTTGGATTTGGGGCTCCAAAGTCATGAGAGAATACCTTTCTTTTCTTTCTTCCTTTCCTTTTCCTTTTCCTTTTTTTTTTTTTTTTTTTTTTGAGACAGAGTCTTGCCCTGTCACCCAGGCTGGAGTGCAATGGTGCAATCTCGGCTCACTGCAACCTCCACCTCCCAAGTTCAAGCGATTCTCCTGCCTCAGCCTCCCGAGTAGCTGGGACTACAGGCCCGCACCACAATGCCCAGCTCACTTTTGTATTTTTAGTGGAGACAGGGTTTCACTATTCTTTCTTTCTCTTTTCTATTCTTTTTTTTCTTTTCTTCCCTCCCTCCCTCCCTCCCTTCTCTCTCTTTCTCTCTCCTCTCCTCTCCTCTCTTCTGTCTCTCTCTTTCCTTTTCTCTCTCTTTCTTTCCCTCCCTTCTTCCCTTCCTTTCTTCATTTCTCTTTCTTTCCTGACGGGGTCTCACTCCTTGCCCAGGCTGGAATTCAGTGGCACAGTCATGGACCACTGCAGCCTCTACCGCCTCCCAACTAGCTGAGACTACAGGTATGTGCCCCCACGCCTGACTAACTTTTAAAAGTTTTTGTAGGATGAGGTCTTGCTGTGTTGCCCAGGCTGGTCTCAAACTCTTGGCCTGAATCTCTCCTCCTGCCTCAACCTCCCAAAGTGCTGGGATTGCAGGTGTCAGCCACTGTACCTGGACTGAGAATGCATGTCTGTTGTCTGCCGCATCCCCCCACCCCAACCCTCAGTTTGTGGTACTTTGTTAATGATAGCCCTGAGGAACTCACACACACCCCCTGCGCCTCCTGGAGCAGGACAGCAGCCTAGGCGATGGGCTCCTGAGTACTCTACAGTTTGCAAATCTAAAATCCCACAGAAGAACCGCAGGGACATGAGAGTGGGTGGGGTGTGCAAGTGAGAGAATTCCCCAGGACAGAATTCTTGAACTCCCGCAAGTTAAAAAATAGGGAGGAGCTTGCAGAACAGAGCTTTAGTTAGATAGTGCTCCTTTCTTCAAGCCAGGATAGCTCATGACTGTTTTCCTGAGCAGATAAGGTGGATTCCTGCAGGGACATGGATTCTGATTTTGATGTTCCCTACTTTCAATTAAGGAACAAAGTCATTTACGTTTCTTAAGTCTCATATAAAGCCCTAGAAACTTTAGAAATTCTGTCCAAAGTTACCTATGTTGGTTTATTTTTATCTTTTATATATAAAAAAAGTATATATATATAGATTTAAATTTAGAGACAAGGTTTTGCTCTGTGGCCCATCTTGGAGTGCAGTGGCGCAATCACGGCTCACTGCAGCCCTAACCTCCCGGGCTTAAGCCATCCTCCTGCCTTAGCCTGCAGAGTAGCTGGGACTATAGGCACCCACCACTACACCCTGCTAATATTTTTATTTTTAATTTTTAAAAAATATATGTATATATTTTTCACAATCTCTTTGGTGAAGATAATGTTTTTGTTTGTTTTCTATGAACAGGGTCTTGCTATGTTGCCCAGGTTGGTCTTGAACTTTAGGCTGCAAGCAATCCACTTGCCTTGGCCTCCTGGCATGCTGGGATTACAGATATGCACCACCACACCTGCCCCATTTTAAAATTTTCTGTAGAGACGGGGTCTCACTTTGCTGCCCAGGCTGGTCTCAAACTCCTGGGCTCAAATGATCTTCCCACCTCGGCCTCCCAACATGCTGAGATTACAGATGCGAGCCACCGTGCCTGGCCTATTTCAGTCTTTTAAGGAGTGAAATTTCTCTGCACCATGATAGCTTTTGAAGAGGACATTTTGGATGCTTCATGAATTGTCCTTTGCCTGTACAGCTCACCGGCTCCTCTGAGTGCTGGTTATAGTCGAATGTGAGCTGTTATTTGTATGTCAGGTCCGCCTGGTGGTGGTGCCAAAAAGCATGAACTTTTCCTCATCATTTAAAGTCTACGTGGAATTTAAGGCCACTGTTGATATTATTCTTGGGAAGATTTTATTCAGTGTTTTGGGAAAACGTGGCAGGAACTCATTTCAGAATTCTCTGATTTGGGGCTGAGCTCAGTGGCTCACACCTGTAATCCCTGCGTTTTTGGAGGCCAAGGCGGGAGGATCACTTGAGACCAGGAGTTCCAGACCAGCCTGGGCAACATAGTGAGATCTTGTCTCTTAAGGAAAAAAAATAAAAAGAAAATTCTAGCCTGGCCAATGTGGGGAAACCCTGTCTCTACTAAAAATACAAAAATTAACTGGGCATGGTGGCGCACGTCTATAACCCAGCTACTTGGGAGGCCGGGACACTAGAATCTCTTGAGCCTGGGAGGCA